TTTTGGTCCATTTGAATGTTCTACCGCAAACCGAACTGGGGGGGGGGGGGGGGTGTTTGGCCCATCACTACTCTGCAGTACAGAAGGAGATGTGTAGGAACAGAAAAAAACAAACATCTATATTCACCTCCCTGCTGCAGCATAGACTGATGCTCCAGCTGTCCTCCACCAGCTCTAAGCCTGAGAACTGAGCGATCACATGGCCGCTGATCTCTTATTTCTCAGTCCAGAATACAATGACTGTCTGTCTCCGCTCTCTGCTCTGCCCCTACAGTTTTCTTTGGAGCACAGAGCTGTGGATGGACGGGAGTGGCTTGCTCAGGCTCTCAGTGGCTGAGGCAGCTGCCGGATAGCCATTCCAACATTATTGTCAGGAACCTTCCAGGACCTGGAGCAGCTCTGTGATTGCAACTGACAGTGTTTTTTTTCTGATTCTGGGTCACTCATCCAAAAGAGAAAAGTGGACAAAAAAAAAAAAACTTATTTTTTTAACTTTTTTTCTCTGTAGTTTATTTTTTTGCAGTGTTTGACTAGTAGCTGGAAGTAGGCTTTAAATCCCAACTCTGGGCAAAGACAGCTCTGGGTCCTTTCCACCCAGGAATGCCTAGAAGCATTCTTAGGTGGATTAACAAAAATAAAAATATATATTTTAAACCAATCAAAAGATTCCAAGTCAATAATAACTATACAAGTGATTTTTCAGACCTGACTGGTGATTGCATGTGTCTGCTTAAAGAGGAGTTCCACCCAAAAGGGAAAGTTCCGCTTTAAAGACTGGTCCCCCGCTCCCCATTAGGATTGGCACCTGTGGGGAGCGGTTACCCAAAATTGACAGGACATACAGGACAGCTGATGAAACGGGCTGTGGGGAGGACACCGTGGGATCGTGGGACAAGTGAGTGGCTGTTTTTTTACAGTTTTTGGAACTGCTAACTTATTTTTTTACAGTGTGAGTGGAACTCTGCTTTAAGGCTGAGGACTCTAACTATTGTGAATAAGTCAAGTTATGATCTTGTGTATGTAAGAAAATCCCAACCTTAGATAGCATACTGGTATTTCTTAGTGTAAAGTTAGGTTTGCTTGCTGCTCCTCTGTAAAGCAGTCTGCAGTGGATTGCTTTTCAGAGGCATTTGACAGGTGGGGAGCAAGTGATATATAGCCTCCTCACCACCTGATTTAACCATGTAAATGCCACACCGCTACACTGAAATTAGAAGCACTGTAGACATATGCAGAGCGCCCCCGTAGACTTTCATGGTTGCATTTGGTGACAGTAGCTGTGTACAGCCCTCAGCAGCTGTATGTCTGTATTTAGGTGAGCAGTTGGGGGTGGTAAAACCATGACTCAATTGTTTGGATTCACCACCCACTGGCTACATATGTAAATGATCTTAAATGCCACACCACCATGCTGCGACTACATGCAATATATGCGTGGCAGAGCAGTTGCAGTGTGGCCCCATTCACTTGAAAAAGTCATGATTGGTGATACTGCCTGCTGAACATGACAGCTTAAAAAGTGGTGGTTAGGGGGGTGATAAAAATACACCTCAACTGCCCCCTCAACAGCAAGAGTAAACGAGCCTTTAGGGTTCAGCTAAATATTATTGCACCTTGTAGGGTTTGTTAAGTTATACAAAATCACAAATGTCTGATTAAAATGCATTTATTTCATAAAGTGTCATTTTTAGGATATCATAAGGTTGTATGTTGGATCATAGCACACTCTTTATCATACAGTTGCAAGAAAAAGTATGTGAACCCCGTGGGATTACGTGGAGTTTTGCATGAATTGGGCATAAAATGTGCTCTGAACGTCATCTAAGTCACAACAATAGAAGAACACAGTCTGCTGAACATAATACTACACAAACATTAGATGTTGCCATGGTTTAATTGCACATGACATGTAAACATTCACAGTGCAGGGAGGAAAAAGTATGTGAGGCCCTAGCTTAATGACTTCTCCCAGAGCTAATTGGAGCCAGGAGTGAGCCAACCTTGACTCCAATCAGTGTGATGATATTGGATGTATTGCTGACAGCTGTCCTGCCCTTAAAAAACACACACCTGTTTTGGGTTTACTGGTTTCAAGAAGCACTGTCTGATGTGAACCATGCCTCGCAGAAAAGAGCTCTCAGAAGACCTACGATCAAGAATTGTTGACTTGCATGAAGCTGGAAAGGGTTACAAAAGTATCTCCAAAAGCCTTGATGTTCATGTGTCCACGGTAAGACAGACTGTCTACAAATGGAGAAAGTTTAGCACTGTTGCTACTCTCCCTAGGCGTGGTCGTCCTGTAAAAATAACTGCAAGAGCACAGCGCAGAATGCTGCATGAGGTAAAGAAGAATCCCAGAGTGTCAGCTAAAGACCTACAGAAATCTCTGGCACATGCTAACATTTTTGTTGACACATCTACAATAAGGAAAACATTAAACAAGAATGGAGTACATGGGAGGACACCACGGAGGAAGCCATTGCTGTCCAATAAGAATATTGCAGCACGTTTTGAAGTTTGCAAAGGAGCACCTGGATGTTCCACAGCACTACTGGCAAAATATACTGTGGACAGATGAAACCAAGATTGAGTTGTTTGGGAAGAACACACAACACTATGTGTGGAGAAAAAAAGGCACAGCACACCAACATCAAAACCTCATCCCCACTGTAAAACATGGCGGAGGGAGCATCATGGTTTGGGGCTGCTTTGCTGCCTCAGGGCCTGGACGGATTGTTGTCATTGATGGGAAAATGAATTCCAGAGTTTATCAAGACATTTTGCAGGAAAACGTACCACCATCTGTCCGCCAACTGAAGCTCCGCAGAGGATGTGTGATGCAACAGGACAATGACCCAAAGCATACAAGTAATTCAACAAAACAATGGCTGCAACAGCACAGAATATGCCTTCTGGAGTGGCCCAGTCAGAGTCCTGACCTCAACCCGATTGAAATGCTGTGGCATGACCTTAAGAGAGCGATTCACACCAGACATCCCAAGAATATTGCTACACTGAAACAGTTTTGTGAAGAGGAGTGGTCCAAAATTACTCCAGATCGTTGTGCAGGTCTGATCTGCAACTACAGGAAACGTTTGGGTGAGGTTATTGCTGCCAAAGGAAGGTCAACCAGTTATTAAGTCCAAAGGTTCACATACTTTTTCCTCCCTGCACTGTGAATGTTTACATGTTATGTGCAATTAAACCATGGCAACATTTTATGCCCAATTCATGCAAAACTCCACGTAATCCCAAGGGGTTCACATACTTTTTCTTGCACCTGTACAGTGTATTTGTTATAGTAGTATATTATACCCAGCCATGAATTCTGCCCCTACATAAATAGCATTTTACTGAATAGACTGTTATGTCTTCATTAGCTGGGTAGATCAGCAAAATCAGTGCGAGAATCTCATCATCTAAATCCAGAGATATAAGGACTGGTGGTTATTCTGTCACATTTTACTATACATTTTCAAATGGTCTATTATTGTTTATTTATATATCTATATACATTTATCTCAACTTTCCAAGATGGAAAAATGCATGGCTATAAATAACTTTTGATCAATAATAAAAATTTTTTTTTATAGAGATCAATAGATTGCAACACAAAAAAGAAAAAAAGGGACAGAGGGATTTGGTTCCATATGAGGGACAGCTATGCCATATACCTCATTCTAGGTGCAGGAGGATGTTAAGCCTTTTATACATTGAGAGACTTTAAGCTTCATCCCACTGGCCAGTGGTTAGGTAGGACATTTGTGCTTTAGATAGCACTGTTACAGCAAATGTCAATCAGCTGATATACCTCATTAACAGTTATTGTTATTTCATGTGTCAATGTCGCCCTCATATGCCATCCTAGTATGTGTGATACTAGTCATTTTTTGGAGTCTTTGGCAAGTGAATAGTGACTTCTTACTAACTGTGTTATGCAAAGTGGTATCTGTGTTTTATGTACATTATCTGTGTTAAATCAGTTAGTTCTTTTTCAGGGTTTGTCTTCTTCAATAAAGCCCATAAAAAATATTCTCAGAGTGTCGAAGTGTTCTGGGTATAATCGGAGGTGTCACCAGATTCAGGTGGGAGCTGAACCTATACATCTAGCCAAGTAACACCTAAGGGTGTTCTACACCTCATTCTGCTTTATTAATTCTAACATTATTATTTAAAAATGGCCTAGAAATTACTTATATTATAAAGATCATGATGGTTATGAGTTGTACTACCTACATAAAAGGCATAGAACAGAACAGATTGTCAGGGCTGCAAGAGATTGGTAAACCTGAGAAACCAGTTCCACAATCAGAGTCCCAGAGAGCCAGGGGCGGACTGACCATTTGGAAACTCGGGCACTGCCCGAGGGCCCGGGGTCAGTAGAGGGCCCCATGAGATGCCCATGGCACCTTTTTCATAGGCTTTTTTGAGTTTGGGCAAGGACACAGGGGCCCCATGATCCCCTATTGCCCGGGGCCCCATGAGTTGTCAGTCTGCCCCTCCAGAGAGCTATAAGAGGCTAGCAAACAGTTGTATTACATTTTATAACAAACTTTGTTTAGGATTATAATTATAAAGAAACTCAAAGGTATGACAAGCACAATAACCTGAAAATTCTTTCTAGGTAGAAGAGGATGTTCAGCCCTTTATAGTCTTCTTCCCCTCATGCAAATCCCATCTCTGCTTCCTGCCTCATCCTGCCAGCTAGAAAAGCTGAACTGACCGGCTGGGATGTTCTAGTGAGATCTTGGTGTCCACTCAGAACATTCACAACATCTAAAGCCAAGAAGACAACATGTTTCTATTCTGTTGTATTTTGTGTCTGTCCTCATTTCTTGGTAAGTCTGGAATACAGAAAAAAGCAGGAAACCATTCTGATGGGATCATCTTATTTCTGATCATATTTTTATTCTTGGTTACAGGGGTCATGTCACAAACACTTACTCAGCCCTCCTCAGAATAAAAAAGCCGGGAGAGAGCGTGAAGATGTCCTGTAAGGATCTGGGTATACATATACCTGCTGCTATATAAACTGGGTTCAACAGGTTCCAGGGAGAGGACTGACATGGATTGGGAGAGTTCACCCTACTAATAATGGGGTTACAGATTATTCCTCTTCATACAAGGGAAGATTTACAATAACAACTGATGCATCTTCAACTACATCATATCTACAAATAAACAATCTGAAAGTGGAAGACACGGCCACATATTACTGTGCTAGAGACACAGCGATCCAAGGATGACATCTGTCATACAAAAACATCCAGATGATGTAATGCTTTCCTCTTACCAGCTGGCTGCAGGACTTCCTCACTGATGTTTCAGTAAACTAAATTTAGGCACACAAAATCAAATGCATTGCTTCTTCCAGTAAGGCATTCCTAAACCTTTAAATAAAAAAGCAATATACTGCAGCTTACCAATCCTTTTACTGATTCTTACCAGGCCCTTAATACAGTGAAGGCCAGGCTGGAGTGCTGCCATCCTGGGTGGTGTCATATGACATCCTCCCAGGTTCATGCCTCGCAAGCGCCCCACAGATGGCGCTGCAATGTGATCCGTTACCTACTGTGCCTACTGAACACAGCAGATGATAAATCATTGTACTGGGCCACTGCTAGTACCATGTGATCACTGCAACCAATCACAGAAGATCATATGACAGTTATACACAATGAATGGTGTTCATTCTTAGCCATTCATTGTGTACTATTGTATTCTGTGATTGGGTACAGTGATCACATGGTACAGACAGGGCTAATCACAGTGCGTCTGTACCATGTGATAGCTGTGGCCAAACACAGCTTTACAATAGTACAAACTGGATGAATGGATGTGATCATCACTGTTATGAGCAATCAAAGTGTGTAAACAAAATCGTCATCACCTCCCCTGTGCAGTACAGTTTCATTATGGTAATGCTGTACTGTTCTGGCCACCCGTACGTAAAAAATAAAAAAGAGGAAAAAAAAAAAAATGTAATAAGAAAGAAAATAATGTTTAAACAATTGAAAAAAAATTGTTTCATTTTAACATACTGCCACCAGTCAGTATCCCTGATCACCACCACACCAGTTATATGGTGACAGTGACACTGTACTGCTCTGGTGACAGTATGTAAAAAAATAAAAATTGTGATTTTTTTTTAAAACTTCTTCATTGTGACCAAAAAATTTCCACTTCAAAAAAATTTCCATGCCTCTTACTAAATACCTTGGACTCTCTACTTTCTAAAAAAAGGTCATTTGGGGGGTATTTGTAATGTCCTGGCATTTAGGGTGGCCAGCAATGAGAGAGGCAGTTGGCACATCAGGATTGATCGATTTTCAAATATATATCCCATAGTTTGTGAGCTCTATAACGTTCCTACAGACTAAATATAATACACCGATTTGGGTTATGCAGCAGAATAACACTTTGGCCAAGATTATGAAGAAATATTATTTATTTGCAAAATGTTATAACAGAAACTAAGAAAAACAAGGTTTTTTTTTAATGATTAGTCTTTTTTTTGTTTATCAAAAAATAAAAATGCAGTGGTTATTAAATACCAGCAAAAGAAAGCTCAGTGCGCAGTGTTGCATGCGTAATTGTCATTCAAAATGTGTCAGCGCTGAGAGCTGAAAATTGATCCGGGCAGGAAGAGGATGAAAGTGTCCAGTATTGAGGTGGTTTACCATGGTGGCAGCATTAGTTTTTTATTCTTTGTCCTTTTCCCCTTTATTTTCACCTGGTGATCCAGCCAATAACACACTTCCTGTCTTGTGGTGTTTCCACTCTTGATTGAGGAGCAACATAGACACCTTTGGACAGCAGTATTGTCAAACTTGGGGCAGAATATTGTTAGATGCATCAACAGATTTAAATGGGATTGAATAACAAACTCAAGCTAGCGCCTTTTAAGCAGTTACAGCAACTTTTTTTTTCACCTTTTGGGATAAAAGTTTTACATAAATAAAGCTGATCATTGTAAGCACCCCTGTCACGGTTAAATGGTTTGTCTCAAGCTTCTGACACTTTTACAGTACAGCTTGGTCTGTTAAACGAAGTTAAAAATCAACAGACTTATTTTCTGGAATGCTAGGTAAGGTAAAGGAAATTAAAAAAAAAAACGAATGCAGTCACTGCATGTAGGGATTAGGGAACTGCAATATGATACAATAGATACAATTTAGGCATATAAGGCCCCTTTACATCTGTTTTTGTCCGTTTACATCAGTTTACATCCTTTTTTTATCAGTTTACATTCTTTTTATCATCAGTTTACATTCGTTTTTCATCAGTTTACATCCGTTTTTTCATCAGTTTACATTCGTTTTTCATCAGTTTACATCTGTTTTTTCATCAGTTTACATCTGTTCTTCACCAGTTTTTTCATTTGTTTTTCATCCGTTTTTTTCATCAGTTTACATCCGTTTTTCAACAGTTTTTTCATCCGTCTTTCATCCGTTTACATCCTTTTTTTGTCCGTGTACATAATTTTTCATCTGTTTACATCAGTTTACATCCATTTACAACTGTTTTTGTCCGTTTAGATTTTTTTATGGAAGAAAAATAGGGTTTTCTTCCGTTCAAAAAAACAGATGTTAACGGATACGGACATTAAGGGATGTAAACGGATAATCATCCGTTTACATCTGCTAGTCCATAGAAATACATGGGTGTCTGTTTTTCATCTGTAAACGGACAGATACAAAATGGGCCTATGGAACAACCATGAAAGAGGCCTAACAGTGTTCCCTTAGAAGGATGATTTTACATTACAGGATTGGGGAATTCATTTTGTGTATAGAAGAAGATCACAAAGAGTGAGATATTAACCCCTTCACGCCTAAGGGAGAAACAAATCTAAATGCCTAAGCACAATTTTGCACCGTTGACATGTGTTACTAAAACCGTACATATCATCACAACTACTTTGTACATCCAGGTGAATTATATCGCGTTTTTTTCAAGACTAATTGGGCTTTCGTTTGGTGGTAAATGGTAATGGATATCTCCTGCCTTTTTTTTTATTATCAAAGGAAAACTGGCCCAAAATAGTACAAAAAAAATCTTTTTTTTTTTTATTAAGCTGTGTACAATAACCTACCACCAAACAACAACCCAAAATAAATTCTCCAGCTCTTGACGATCGCAGCAATACCATATACTGTATGTTATTTCTTGTTTGTACCCGTAGTACAGCCCAGAAACAATAGTGCACATTTTGTTTTTGTTTTTTTTTTTTTTTTACCTAAAAACACACTGACACTGACATTGACACTAACTGACACTAATACCAATTTTTTTTTAAATCCTGACCTTTGACCCTAACCTTGACTCAAACACTAACCCTGGCACTGAACTAGATCAAACCTTGATCTAGGTTTTTTTTTCTTTATTTTTTTTTAATAGGGTGGCACAGTGGCTTAGTGGTTAGCACATCTGCCTTGCAGTAAATGGGCTATGGGTTCAATTCCTGACCATGGTGCCTCCTGCATGGAGTTTGCATGTTCTCTCTGTGCTTGCATGGGTTTCCTCCCACACTGCACAGACATGCTGGTAGGTTAATTGGATCCTGTCTAAATTGGCCCTAGTATGTGTATGTATGAATGTGAGTTGGGGATCTTAGAGGGTTAGGGACTGATGTGAAGGTTCAATATATATGTATAAAGCACTGTGTAAATTGACATCGCTATATAAGTACCTGAAATAAATAATATTTATTTACCATATTTTTCGCTCCATAAGACACACTTTTTTCCCCCAAAAAAAGGGGGGAAAATGTCAGTGCGTCTTATGGAGCGAATATGGAGCGGCCGGTCCGGTATTTCCGCCGCCGCCGCCACCGTGTCAAAATACCGGGCCGGCCGCTCGGCTCTTCCCTGCAGCAGGACCTTACCTGTTTCCTCGGTCCAGTGATGTACAGTCTTCCCGCACAGGCATCTTTAGTGTGGGCACCTGGCTGTGACAGCCAGGTGCCCACTGCGCATGCACGAGCAGCGCTGCGCTTTGTGAATCGCCCGGCGTCTTCTGGGACACATGACAGGTCTGCAGTCATCCTCTGTACTGTGTCCGCAGTCACTGGTCATCTCCTGTACTGTCTACAGTCTCTGGTCATCTGTACTATGTCCGCAGTCTCTGGTCATCTGTACTGAGTCCGCAATCTCTGGTCATCTGTACTGTGTCCGCAGTCTCTGGTCATCTCCTGTACTGTGTCTGCAGTCTCTGGTCATCCCCTGTACTATGTCTGCAGTCTCTGGTCATCTCCTGTACTATGTCCGCAGTCTCTGGTCATCTCCTGTACTATGTCCGCAGTCTCTGGTCATCTCCCGTACTATGTCTGCAGTCTCTGGTCATCTGTACTGTGTCTGAAGTCTCTAGTCATCTCTTGTACTGTGTCTGCAGTCTCTGGTCATTTTCTGTACTGTGTCTGCAGTCTCTGGTCATCTCCTGTACTGTCTACAGTCTCTGGTCATCTCCTGTACTGAGTCCGCAGTCTCTGGTCATCTCCTGTACTGTGTCTGCAGTCTCTGGTCATCTCCTGTACTGTGTCCGCAGTCTCTGATCATCTCCTGTACTGTGTCCGCAGTCTCTGGTCATCTCCTGTACAGTGTCCGCAGTCTCTGGTCATCCCCTGTACTATGTCTGCAGTCTCTGGTCATCTCCTGTACTATGTCCGCAGTCTCTGGTCATCTCCTGTACTATGTCCGCAGTCTCTGGTCATCTCCTGTACTATGTCCGCAGTCTCTGGTCATCTCCTGTATTATGTCCGCAGTCTCTGGTCATCTCCTTTACTATGTCCACAGTCTCTGGTCATCTCCTGTACTATGTCCGCAGTTTCTGGTCATCTCCTGTACTATGCCCGCAGTCTCTGGTCATCTCCTGTACTATGTCTGCAGTCTCTGGTCATCTGTACTGTGTCTGAAGTCTCTATTCATCTCTTGTACTGTATCTGCAGTCTCTGGTCATTTCCTGTACTGTGTCCGCAGTCTCTGGTCATCTCCTGTACTGTGTCCGCAATCTCTGGTCATCTCCTGTACTGTGTCCGCAGTCTCTGATCATCTCCTGTACTGTGTCCGCAGTCTCTGGTCATCTCCTGTACTATGTCCGCAGTCTCTGGTCATCTCCTGTACTATGTCCGCAGTCTCTGGTCATCTCCTGTATTATGTCCGCAGTCTCTGGTCATCTCCTTTACTATGTCCACAGTCTCTGGTCATCTCCTGTACTATGTCCGCAGTTTCTGGTCATCTCCTGTACT